TGCTCTGATAAAAAATGAAAGTTGAGATAGTTGATGCTCGGTCATGACGGAAGGAGAGGTGGAGCTACGGGAGAGATGAGCTGGTTATTTGCAGGGTGAGGGTAACATCGGCTGGACGAGTATGACGATTAGGAAGACAGTTGAACATGATAATAATAATTATTTTCAAAGGTATTAAAGACAGCGGTGCCATAAACCTGGCCGAAACCCGTCTCTATACCAAGTCCTCACCAATCTCTTGACAACAGATGATACTACGGAAGAATACAAACCATGCACAACCATATAACCGATCGATAATCTACCCCTAAGGCGTTATACACCTTGCCAGGCCAACTACACAACTAGCCATAACTCTGAAGTATACATGTATATCAAAATGTAGCAGCAAATCAATACTATCCTCTGCTGTACATTGCAACTGCCCGATCCTGAAAATTATTGAAAAGGATTTTTACAAGCACGCCTCAGCTGCATTATTCCAGAATTGAGCCCTGAAAAGTAAAGAAATATATGAAAATATATCAAAAAATATATCAAAATAATTATATCAAAATAATTATATCAAAAATATGTCAAAATAATTATATCAAAAATATATCAAAATATATATTTGCCATATTTGATGCTCCAAATTCATATTTTATTCATTTTTATTGCTATTGTTTTCGTTCTGCTCTGCTCTATACCATTTTTGTTAGAGATTGCAAAATAACTAGGTTCTGTCACTTTCTTTTCGTAGGCACTGCATCTGTCGCTAGAGTTTACTGGGTGTTAGCGGCCGTCGTGAGTTCCCTTCTGGAACGGACACAATAATTTACTTTTCTATTTTTCACTTTCTTCCTGCTCTACATTGTATATAGAGGCTTTCCTGCAGCAGCATCATCATGTCGACTTCATTTTTTCCTGTCTTGCACTTGCACTGGCGGTGTTTGACTTTATCTGAAACTTGTGTCTTCGTCTTCTTCCCTCAGAACCTTGAAGCTCCAGCATGTAGCCTTGTGGTTCTTTTCTTGATGATGATGATGAATTGATGATAATGAGTTGTGATGTTGCTACGTACTTGAAGTACATGTATCAACAGTTCAACCAGAGTATTTGCCATCCGATCACAGTAGTGTTCCCACTCCCAGTAGCCTACATGACTTTGTATAAGGGATCACTTCCCTGACACTGATGACATCATGGCATGGACAATTATTATCGCAACAACTCGCACTGCTGCTACATGTACACGATAGTCTGTTGTCACGTGACATGTCTCTTCCCGGTGACTTTGCAAGTTTGCATCGTCGTTCAGTCTCATGATTATTATACAATGACTTATGTACATGTCATGTAGAGGTAGAGTAGTCGATTATTATAGATAGCTCAGTGGTCGGAGCATGACTGCAGCTCATCTGCATACCGGGTAATTTCCCCTGCAACAATTATTGGGAAAGTCCGAGAAAAGTCTCTGAAACCATGTTTATTATACAAAAACATGTCATACTTCTCGTCCAACCCGCTGTCTTCCTAATAAAGTTCCTAGTAATAGTACTACTACTAGATGTACTTGAAATAGGAGTAATACTAATAGTAGTACAAGAGTACACGACACATCGCCATCGGTTTGATAGAGACTTTGTATTGTCATCATGTCAGTCTTGCGGCACTTGTCAGGCGGCAGGGAAATTTCCCTACATGTCTTCAAGGTACATGTAAATGTACGGTGTACTAGTACATGAAGTTATCAGGTTAGGATACTTAGGTACTACTACTAGGTTCCCTCTCACCACGTCATGCACATGTATGTGGTAGAGTCCCCAACTTTTTTGGAGTCCGTGTTTCCCGGCGAATCTAGCTCACAACAATTACATTTTCATAGTGGATGAAGTGTAGTTGTACTTGTAGGTTTTCTTGTGGTCCGTGGTGAAGAAGTGGACTAAACGTTCTCGGGCCAGGAGGACATTCCTCGAAAATCCCGCTGAGCTAAGATGGGTCTGCGACTCGGTCCCTCCGAAGTCGCGATTCTCGAAAGATCGAAGAGACCAATGCCAAGACATTGCCAAGACATTGGCGATCACCAAGCTACAGTTTTAATATGTGGACGATGGCACATTGGTTGCTACTCTTGTGTAGCATCATTCCAGTTATGTTGCTACGTTGCGACGCTACATTCTGAGCTTGCAGAACACAAGCTTCCAGTCCCGTGTTCAGATTCTCATTGGCTGAGGCGATGCTCTGGTCGGCTTCTGCCTTGCCCGCTCCTTTCCAGTATGGCTCAGTGCAGAGTTGACAAACCTGTGTGTTGATTACTCACTGTGCAACTAGCGTTAGCTACACATAGAGCATGTCGCATCCCTGACCGGACTGCTTGCTGCACCTGTGACCAGACTGTTCAGACGTCCAGTCCACTACAATTGTACATTGTACATTGTATATCCTGATTCACTCGCTCACTCGCGACGGGTACCAGCAAACAGGCACAAGTAAGACAATGAATGCGATTCACAACTTACTTCATGAACTGCTACTTCTAGTTTTCTCCAGCGGTGGTAGGCAGTGGTAGACAGTGGCAGAGAGTGATGGGGCCTAAGCCAAGGCAGTTGTAGTGAGTGGCTGGCGGTGGTAGGCAGTTGTGGGCAGGTGTAGGGAGTAGACAGTAGTACTACTGGCAGGCAGTTGTAGGCAGGGGTACTACCGGTAGGCAGTAGGCAGTAGTAGGGGTGGTAGGCATTTGCAAAAGGTAAGCCGGACGAGCAGCTCAGCTGATAGCCAGGCCATAACAATTCTGCCTGCAGTGAAGGGAGTAGAAAGGAACCAGTCTGTCACAGCTTGTTTTCTCATGTACGAATCCAAGCAGGCACCTGGGAGTGGGGAAGTCTTGCCAATGTGTGATTCTACACTGTTTACTGTGTAGGCATTGGCGGATAATGCTCGAAAAGGTGGCAGATTCTGCTCGAAAAGCAGTGAAATTGGCAGAACCACACAAACCTTATGGCGGGCAATTCCTCGAATTCTGCTCCATTAAATTTTCTTTATCCACATACCAAACATGCATGAAACTTACCAGAAAAAGCACCGAATTCTGCCAATTTTTCTGCCGGCATTACCCGCATATGCCTAACAGTCACTGTGTACAATGTAGTATATATATGTGTAGTATTACCGCTGCACACAGAATGGCAGGAAATGTGGAAATTTCACTCCAAGCCGTCATCCTACTGTCAGTACCATGGGTACTGGCTCTCGATGGACTAAATACATGTACATGGACTTCTCCAGGTCAAAGTCGCACAGTGAGTGGGCGTTTCAAAGCGCATGCCAGACCCGCTCACGGCTGTTAGCTGCACTTGGATCGCGGCAACTATTAGTATTACTTACATGTAGTTTTCTGCACGTGAACCATGAAAAATCAATGCATGCTCATGCATGTTCATGCATAACCAGTCAGCTGGCCTGCTCGCCCACGCATTTGACAGGTAACAATTCCATCAAATTTGAGATATCGCTTCGTTCTAAGTCTCAAAACAGTTCTAAAGTCACCAAACCACGCTTGTAATCGATGGCTATTCAATGTTAACATCTTCAGGAAGAATTCAGCCGTTTCCCGAGAGTTTGGGCATCGTTGCCGTTATTTTTCACGGTGTTCTTCTTCCTCCTGTCTGGAGCTGCAATTGCATCCTGGAATTATTTGAAAGGTATTTCGTGCGGGCTGTGGGGGGTTCCAACAGGCATAAACTGACATCGCTATAGGATAACTGGTAACTTTCACCCTTCAAGGAGGTAGAGCAATGAGAATTTTTTTGTGGCGGTCGTCCAATTTTTGTGGCGGTCGTGGCTGTATTTGTGCACTTCCAAGGCTTTCATTCTGCCTGATACTACTCTCTACTGTATGGGAATTGTTGTTTAGGCACATGTAGCTGTCTTATTTGGTAGATCTGCTGTTTTCAATCACTTGGGACACTTTGTCTAGCCTATTTGTCTTTCGTTCATGCCATCTATCAGTTTTGTGGGGTGCCTTGGCCTGTATTCGTGAAGTTCTCGAGTAAAGACCCTAATTCTTGACTGGAGTCACGACTTGAATTGTATTTGCTGGGCGAGCCCTCGTTCACGCAGTTGTCCTTATCGTAATAGTCAATATCTGCTTGCTGGACGGACTAGCGGCTAGAATAGGGATGACCAAATGGTCCAAGTGTGTACTCGTACACGATTATTGTTTCCATCATCGTGAAATGAGCGTTGTGGAATTGCAGTCGTCTGCCTTTGGCACTGAGGACATGAGGAGAGTTGATTGTTACTTCTGCTCAGCAATGAAGCGATCATCAGCTCTCTTTGTTCTAATTATTGAGAGGACATACCGGCATCGCAATCAAGTAAAGATTTGGCAAACCTCGCCAACCTCCAAAGAGAGTCGAAGATATTTTCTCCAAATGCAAAGACGATCTTTGTGAGTTTGTGACTTGCATTTGCGTGCATACATGAGCAAGTCACGGACCACGGCACGTGCGCGGTTACCATGCCATCTCGAACCGACGCCATCTTTCTAATTAGTTGCCGCTTCTTGACAGCCGTGCGCGCTATCCAAGACAAAGCCATGTTAAGTCGACGTTAGTAGTACCAAAAGTGTTGATGGTTTGCGTGAAAATAAAGTGCCGTGGTTGGCTATCACCCCTCTCTCGCACTTTGCGTGCCAATTGGTCATGAACCACGAGTTGAGTGAAATAAATATATAAATAAGTCGGTATCAGTACTAGTGATTGGCCGTCCTGGTTTCTATTGGATATCGACTCAGTGACCAACTGAGTGTTCCCCAGTCAACTGGCTATCGACTAACACAGACATTGTGCCGCCATGCACATGTGACATGTACTTCCACAGCTGCAGTTAGACACGATGGCGATAGCGAACAGAATCCTGACTGAGGAAGATCTGTAACTTTGACAATGTGAGTGACCTTGTTTCTTTACATTTGCTGGATTTGGCTTTTTTGTCTGGCCATTTTGCGTTCATCATAG